ACAAATAAAAGTAAAGTTCATCACAACTCAACCAGCCTTATAAGAAATGTTAAAGGGACTCTTTTAAGAAGAAAAGAAAGGCCATAATGAGAACTAAGAAAATTATTAAAGAAAAATTTCACTGGTAAAAGCAAACATATGGTAAAGGTAGTAGATCAAACACTTATAAAACTAGTATGAAGATTAAGAGATTAAAGTAATAAAATCAATTATATCTACAATAATTAATTAGTGAATATACAAAATAAAGATGTAAAATGTGAAGTCAAATACATAAAATGTGGAGAGCAGTAATAAAAATATGGTGCTTTCAGAATGTGTTAAAGTTAATTGAACATTAACTTTAATAGACTGCTATATACATAGGGTGTTATATGTGAACCTTATATGAACCACAAACCGAAAATCTTTAATAGATACAAAACCTAAAGAGAAAAGAATCCAAGCTTAGCACTCAAGAAAATCATAAAATCATAAGGGAGGAGAGTAAGAAAAGAAGAAAGGAACCAAGAAAAACTACAAAACAACCAGAAAACGGTTACATGCCAGTTGTCATATGCCAACAAATGGCAATAAGTATATCCCTATCAATAATTACTTTTAATGTAAACAGACTTAAAGTTCCAATCAAAAGATAAAGGGTGACTGAATGAGGAAAAAAACAAAATAAGACCCAACTATATGCTGTCTACAAGAGACTTACTTCAGACCTTAAGACACATACAGACTGAAAGTGAAGGGCTGGAAAAACATATACTGTGCAAATGGAAGTGGAAAAAAAAAAAAAAGCTGGAGTAACAGTACTCATATCAGACAAAATAGACTTTCAAGCAAAGACTGTAACAAGAGACCTACCTAGATGGGCATAATATAATGATGAAGGGATCAAGCCAACGAGAGCATATAATGGTTATAAATTTTTATGCACCCAACCTAGGAGCACCTAAATATATAAAGCAAATTAACAGACATAAAAGGAGAAATTAACATAATAGGAGGGGATTTTGGCACCTCATTTACATCAATGGAGAAATTATCCAGAAAAAATATTAATAAAGAAGGAAACAGTGGCTTGAATGACACATTAGACCAGACAGACCTTACAGATACATACAAAACATTCCATCTAAAAACAACAGAATACACATTATTTTCAAGTACTCATGGAACATTCTCCAGGACAGATTACATAGTAAGCCACAAAACAAGTTTAAGAAGATAAGTTTAATAAGTTTGAAAAGATTGAAATCATATCAACCATCTTTCCCAGCCACAACAATATGAAGCTAGAAATCAGTTACAAGAAAAAACCGAAAAAACCCCCACAAACATGGTGTTTTAACAATATGCTACTAAACAACCAATGGGCCAATGAAGAAAACAGAGAGAAAATTAAAAAAAAAATAGATGCAGACAAATGAAAATGGAAATACAACAGTTCAAAATCTTCGCTACCCAGCAAAGGCAGTTATGAGAGGCAAATTTCCAATGATACAGGCCTACCAAAAAACAACTAAAACAAGGAAAATCTCAAACAATCTAACCTTACTCCTAAGGATCTAGAAAAAGAAGAACAAACACAGCCCAAGGTTAGTAGAGGGAAGGAAGTAATCACACCAGAGTGGAAATAAATAAAACGGAGACTTAAAAGAATAATACAAAAGATCAGTGAAACTAAGAACTAGTTTGTTGAAAAGCAAAACAAATTTGATAAACCTTTAGCCAGACTCTTAAAGAACAAAAAAATGACAGGACTCAAAATCAGAAATGAAACAAAAATTATAGCTGACACCAAAAATTATAGCTGACAGAAATACAAAGGGGATGACTACTATGAAAAATTATATGCCAACAAATTAGGCAACCTAGAAGAAATGGATAAATTCCTAGAAACTAGAATCTTCCAAGACTGAAAGAGGAGGAAATAGAAAATCTAAACAGACATCAGTAATAGAATCGAATCAGTAATCAAATAACTCCCAGTAAGTAAAAAAGTCCATGACCAGATGGCTTCAAAGGTAAATTCTACCAAACATTTAAAGAAGACTTAATAACAATTCTTCTCAAACTATTCTAGAAAATTAAAGAGCAAGGATTGCTTCTAAATTCATTCTGTGAGGCCAGCATTACTGTGATTCCAAAACCAGACAAATGTACTATAAAAAGAAAATTATAGGCCAGTATCTGATGAACACAGATGCAAAATTGGCACAAAACATTAACAAACCAGATTCAAAGTACATTAAAAGGATCATTCCCCATGATCAAATAGGATTTATTCCATGGGTGCAAGGATGGTTTCATATCCACAAAACAGTCAGTGAGTGTGATACAGCACATTAACAAAATGCAGGATGAAAATCATATGATCATCTCCATAGGTGCAGAAAAAGCATTTGACAAAATACAACATCCATTCACTTTCAAGAAAATGGCTATAGAGGTATAGAGAATGTACCTCAATATAATAAAGTCCATAAACCCACAGCTAACATACTTAATGGTGAAAATTTCCAAGCTTTTCCTCTAAGATCAGGAGCAAGACAAGGATGTCCACTCTCACCCCTTTTAATCAACACAATACTGGAGGTGTTAGCCCCAGCAGTCAGACAAGAAAAAGAAATAAAAGGCATCCAAACTGGCAAGGAGGAAGTAAAACTGTCACTTTTTGTAGGTGACTGATACTAAATATAGAAAAGCCTAAAACTTGGGGCACCTGGGTGGCTCAGTTATTGAGCATCTGCCTCCAGCTCAGGTTACAATCTCAGGGTCCTGGGATCAAGCCCCGCTTCAGGCTCCCTGCTCAGCGGGAAGCCTGCTTCTCCCTCTCCCTCTCCCCCTGCTTGTGTTCCCTCTCTCACTGTGTCTCTACTGTCAAATAAATAAAAATTAAAAAAAAAAAAACCTAAAACTTGACCAAGAAAACTATTAGAACTAATAAATGAATTCAGTAAAGTTGCAGGATAAAAAAGTTACATGTAGAAATTTGTTGCATTTCAATGCACTTACAAGGAACTATCAGAAAGAGAAATTAAGAAAACAGTCCCATTTGCAATTGGTTCAAAAAGAATAAATTTAACCTAGGAGGTGGAAACCTGCACTCTGAAAACTGTAAGACACTGAGGAAAGAAGTGGAAGGTGATACAAATAATTGGAAAGACATACCATGTTCACAGGTTAGAAGAATTAATATGGTTAAAATGTTCATACTGCCTGAAGCAATCTACAGATTCATTGCAAACCCTATCAAAATATCAATAATTTTTTCATAGAACTAAAATTTATATGGAACCACTGAAGACCCTGAGTAGCAAAAGCAACCTTGAGAAAGAAGAACAAAGCTGGTAGTATCACAATCCCAGATTTCAAGATACAGTACAAAGCTATGGGAATCAAAACAGTGTGGTGCTGGCACAAAAACAGTAGACACACAGATCAGTGGGAACACAGTGGACAGCCCAGAAATAAACCCACACTTATTTTGTCATTTCATCTATAACAGAGTATGCTAGAATATACAATAGGGAAAGACAGTTTTTCAGTAAATTGTGTTGGGAAAACTGAACAGCCAATGCAAAAGAATGAAACTGGACCACTTTTTTTTTTTTTACATCATATACAAAAATAAACTCAAACTGGAATAAATACCAAAATATAAGACCTGAAATGATAAAACCCCTAAAAGAATACATAAGTGGTAACCTTTGGACAATGGTTTCAGCAGCATTTTTTGGATCTGTCTTCTAAGGCAAGGGCAACAAAAGCAAAAATAAGCAATTGAAACTGCATCAAACTAAAATGCCTTTACAAAGGAAATAATCAACAAAACAAAAAGGCAACCTACTGAATGAGAGAAGATATTTGCAAATGACATATCTGATAAAGAGTTAATACCCAAGATATACAAAGAACTTTTATAACTCAAACCAAAAACTCCCAAATAATCTGGTTAAAAAATGAGCTGAGGGCTTGAATAGACATTTTTCCAAAGAAGACTTAACAGAAAGTAAGTCAGTCACAGGGATGTAAAATACAGCATAGCACATATAGTCAATAATATTGTAATAACTTTGTAGATGACAGAAGGTAATTACATTTATGTGGTGAGCATTTCATAGTGCATCTAAGTGTTGAATAACTATGTTGTACATCTGAAATTAATGTAATACTGTATGTCAACTATACTTCAATGAAAAAAAAATAATTTTTAAAAAATAAAATACTTCTGAATAAATTTAAAATATGCAAGACATTTTCACAGAAAGTCACAAAAGATTGCGCTGGGAGATTAAAGACATAATAAATGAAGGCTATACTATCTTTATGGAGTGGAAAATTTAAGTTTTTCAGATAGTAATCTACCCCAAATTGATCCATAGATTTAATACAATTCCACTCAAAATTCTAACAGATTTTAACACACGCTGATTCAAAAATTTATATGGAAATGAATGATTCTTGATCTGATAATACAAATTTCACCCAGTGCTCCTGAGACTTACTATTACATTTTTTTTTTTAACTGATCTGTGATTTGGGAACAGTGAAAGGCCTTGGCTTTGAAAACCTTTTCTTGGAACTTCTGTTGGACCACAGTAAAGATCTTGACTATGTCAATGATGAATTTAACAATGGCTAGACAAAAAAGTATTTCAAGGGGCAGCAAGCTTTGGGGGGTCAATTTACTTTATACGTAAGATGTGGATAGGTAATAAAATTTAACTGTACTTTTAAAGGGTTTTAACTGAATTTTCATATAATCCTTTCCTTCTTTTTTCTTCTACTCTTAAATAAATGCTCCTACAATTGTAAGATCTGTAATGTTAAATGCTTTTAGGATTAGTTTCACCTTTGAGTAAGAGTGGGAGGTTATATTTACATATGTGTGTGTATATTATCCTGGAATAGACTTTAGTTGTGTTGATGTCATATTTTATGAAAGGGAAATAATTGAATCATTTACCATCTTTATTAATGGGAAACTGTACTTGTTTTTATAGGGAAGAGTGGACAGAAGCTATTCAGGCTGTAGCAGACAGACTTCAGAGACAAGAAGAGGAGAGAATGAATTGTAGTCCAACTTCACAAATTGATAATATAGGGGAGGAGGAGATGGATGCTTCCACAACCCATCATAAAAGAAAGGTAGAGAATAGTAATTTATTCCCTACTCAGCACAGTGTATGTGTGTGGAAGAAATATGCTAAAAATTGCCATTTGCAAGAAGTGTTGGCTGATGATCTTACGTTATTCAAATATATAGGTGTGGATGGTGTTTATCCTGGTAAATCTGAAATACCTGTCACTGTTTAAGACCAAGTAATTTAAACGTCACCTCATTTTCATGGTTCGGCCTTAACACTGACAGCCGATAGGGCTTCGGGGGTACTTGTTAACTGAAGTGCCATTGTGCTGATTTATAATTTGCATTTTTTTCTTATTGTTTTTAATACAATTTTAGAACTTGGGAATAATGTTTTCCCTAATGATTTGGTCATTTTCCATTTGGTATTTTGTATGCTCAAAGCAGAAGCAGAAATGGTTCTGGTGTGCTTCCTACCTGATGCCCCAGCCTCACTAATATCAGCAGGAAAGTGAATAGTCTGGGAAATAATAGCTTTTTATTTTAATGGCTTGCTCCTGAGCCAGTGAGGGAAAAGTGTTTTCCTTCCCTGAGTGCTCCAGATTAATAAATGCCAATTTACATATTGATGGAATTACAAATTATGTTTTCATTGCTATAGAAAATTAAAAAGCTGGGTGCCTGGGTGGCTTAGTCACTTAAGTGTCCGACTCTTGATTTTGGCTCAGGTCATGATCTCAGGGTCCTGGGATCGAGCCCCTCATTGGGCTCTGTGCTCAGCAGGGAGTCTGCTTTAGATTCTCTCACTCCCTCTCCCCCTGCTTGTTCTCTCAAATAAGTAAATAAATCTTCTTAAAAAAAAAGAAAATTAAAAAACAACTTCCTTGTATGAAAATGGTATTTTAAGATTAAAGATCTAAGTGTTCAAAGTAAATGAACATGCCATTTATTATGTTAGAATGTATTTGTTATAATGAATTATAAATTTAATCTTCATGTAGGAAAACACTAGTTTTTAATGTAATTACCCATGTAATTTGGTCTTAGCATAATGATTAAGAACTCTATGGAGTTAGACTGCTTGAGTTCAAATCCTCCTTTTTCCAAGTGCTAAACACATGAACTTGATAAAGTTATACCATCACAACCTAGAGTTTGTTAATTACTCTCTCCTCATCTGAAATCTCTTCTAATTATAATAATATTCTTTGTTTGATCTTGGTCAAATGTCTGAGAACTCTTTGTGTCTTCATTAAAGACTTATCCTCTATTTGTTAGTTGAAATGAATCCCTCTTTTAAGTCAACTTAACACCCCCTTGTTCTTCAGTCATTGCAAAAAGCTAAAACAAAGAAATAGTCTAGCTTTACTCACCTACTCAGAGATAAGGAAGCTTCTTTTGGATGTCTATGAGCACATGTACACAATGAATGTCAAATGTGACTATGCTCATAAATTTAAAATCAGGTCCCAATGAACCTTGTCCTTTCAATTCGACACTACCCCATTCAGTAACAGGCTATGCCAGCTATACTCTTTTTAATTGAAATTCCTAGAACTCTACTTAATAACAGAGTAAGAAGCTGCTGTTGAGGCAGTTACAGGTTGAAAGTGGGGAGTTTATAATATCCTAACTAGAAATACTCTTACTTATGGATGAGAGAATTTGGAAATGAATATGGAAATTATTTACCAGAAAAAATTTTGAATGAAGAGAGAGAAACATTTTCAAAGATGTAAAAATGCAAAAGTATGGAGGATTTTTTTTTTCCTGTTAAGGCTTGTTATTAATCATTATAAAAGCACAGTGCAATTTCTTCTCTTCACAGTTACCAGTGTGGATTATCTTAGAATCCATCACCTTCACTAATTATCACTTGTAAACATTTATTGTAAGTTTATTTTGTGCTGTGCTCTGAGCAATACTGTTATATGTATTATCTCATTTAATCCTCACAAAAACCATATGAGATGTAGGTACCATTATTACCCCATTTTGCAAGTGATTCATCTGACATTCAGAGAAATTAAATAATCTTGTTCAAACACGTAAGGACTTTTAATTATACACTGTATTACTTCAGTGGGCAACTTATTTCTTATTATTGATTGATATAACATGAGCCTTTATAATCACTATAATTATTATACTCATTACATGACCAAGTCATATTAGAGAACAAAATTATACAGATATTCTCTCTTATGATTGTACTTGGTTTCTCAAAATATTTTTGTCAAGATGTTGTACTTTGTGTTTCAGTTAATTTCATTTTATATTGGTGTACTCTTGGGAAAATCAGTAAAATTTTAATTTACAGAACAGTGATAGAAAGTGAGGTTTTTAAAGTAGATTCTCTAAGAAATCTCTCACTGAAACTGGGTCTCAAAAATTAAAAAATGATATGGTCAGAAGTATTTTGAAAAGAGGAGGATTCATTGTCTTATTTGACCTATACCTGATTTCCATTTTTCTTCTTTATTTCATTTCATTTTTTAAAAAGATTTCTAAAAGATTTTATTTATTTATTTATTTATTTATTTATTTATTTATTTATTTATTTATTGAGAGGGAGCGGGTGAGCAGGGGCAGGGGCAGAGGGAGAGGGAGAATCTCAAGTAGACTCCTCACTGAGCATGGAGCCCAACTAGGGGCTCGATCTTACGACCCTGAGATCATGACCTGAGCTGGAATCCAGAGTCATACACTCAACTAGTTGGGCCATCCAGGCACCCCTATTTCATTTCATTTTAAGTGAGTATAAGACCCTTTTAAAATGACAAAGAGTATAGAAAAAGGTAGAACCTCAGTACCACTCTTTCGTGATGGCCCTAACAACTTGGTTAAAAAGGATAAAATAGTGCTATCACTTCCCTAGTTCCCTAGTACTACATCCTTTATGTGTATCAGGTATCATAGAAAGAATTGCTGAAGTCAGATTATTTTTTTTCAAAGATTTTATTTATTTATTTGAGAGAGAGAATGAGATAGAGAGAGAGCATGGGGGGGGAGGTCAGGGGGAGAAGCAGATTCCCGCTGAGCAGGGAGCCCAATGCGGGACTTGATTCCGGGACTCCAGGATCATGACCTGAGCCAAAGGCAGTCACTCAACTAACGGAGCCACCCAGGCGCCCAGAAGTCAGATTATTTTTAATATCAAACTGTAAACACAGATATTCTGAAATAAGAATGCCTTTCTCATAATTTACAGTGTACATTTTCCTCTTTGTTCACTTTTTGAAAAATGAGCAATAGGATGAGGGGAATGGCTCCTCTAACTTGTGTTAGCTCTGCTGAGAATTGTCTTAGCTGTTTTCTCTTGCCTCAAGCAGACACATGGTTACTTCTCTTAGTGGTAGAGTATTACCCAGTTTCTGCTGCACAGGGTGAAAAATCTCTTAAGGAACGACACCGGGTGGTGGAAAAGAGGCAGAAGCCTCATAACCAGATTTATGTGCTGTTCTGTGTTTCAACTAAAAGATGATCTTTCAAAGGAATTTGATCAGAGGACTCAGAAGTGCCTAATCTTGGTCTGCCAAGCGGCCATTCTCTATAGGGTCAGGTATGTGAAGGAGCACAGCATAAGAGGATCAACAGCCAAATGGGAGTCAAAGTTCTGCCTAATTTATTCACCTTCAATTATATATTCATATTCTTTAACCTAAATTTTGGACTATATAATTAGCCTTCTTCTTATACTCTAGTGTCATTTGTTATGTATGCCCATGCATCTCTTAACCTAAAACAGCCGCGTTGACATGCTGGAGATTATGCGAAGGAAAGAATATAACTATGTAAAATATTTACTTAATAAATTTGGGGGATTGGGTTTTAGAGGATTAATTTTTCTGCAGAGGATCCATACTCTCATCTTTCATTAAAATCTTACTGTATTTTTCCCCTTAATACCATCTAAAAGAGGGAAGCATTTTGTAATGGGTTACATTTCATTTGTAAAGACTAGATAATTACTGTGTGTACCATGCTGAACATGAACATTTGGTATCAAAGATACTTTTTAAATTTTCTGAAGTTTTGTCAAAATAGATATGAAATCTGTTTCTGATTTTTTCACATAGGATGCTTTTACTAATATTAATTTCCATGCAAATTCCCTTTTAAGGTTGGCAGTCAAACTGATAGAAGTTGTGAAATTTAATGATAAGGCTATTATATTTTTTTAAACCTCCTTTTCTCTAAGAATTGCAGTCCTTAAGGAATATAGCAATATTTTATAATTACATATTGCTTTTCATCTGAAAATGTCATAAAGCAATTTATAAATTCCTTTCTTATTTTTATCTCTAAGAATTCAGTTTCCATTTCTATAATATTTAATAATAGGACACAGCAAGGATCATTTTTCAGTGCATTTAGATACAAATTGAGGGAGGGTACTGTTCAAATGAAGCTTTGAGCAAAAAATAACATCGTAGCCTAGTTATAAGAATAATGTCTCTCAGTTCATTATTGCCATGGAATAAACTACCCAGGTTTAATGTCTTAAAAGAGTAACAGTATATTAGTTTTCATGATTTTGTGGTTTGTGTAGGCACTTCCACTGGTCTCACATGGATCTCTCAAGCAGTTGCATTCAGTTAGCATACAGGCTGATCTGGAAGATCCAAGAAAGCCTTTCTCACATTTCTGGATTCTTGGTTCTCCTCTATGTGATCTCTTGGCATATGGTGTCTCATCATCAAGGCCCTTTGTACATGGTATCTTTCCTTACGGCATGAAGGCTGGCTTTCAATTATGACATTTCCAAGAGGGTGAAAGTATAAACTGCTAGATTTAAAGGCTGGATCTGGAACTGGCATAGTATCACTTCGATCATATTCTGTGTTCAAAGCAGGACACAAGGCTAGCCCAGGGAGAGGGAAAGTTCAGTCCACCTCTTCATGGGAAGAATGGCATGTGCATACAGGGAGTCAAGGGACTAGTGGCAGCCATCATTGGAGACTGCCTAGCACAGGTAGCTTTGGGGTTATACAGTATTCCTTGGTTTTTTAAAAAAATATTAGTGAAAACAGAATTTTTTAATACTACCAGCTATTCAAATGACAGTAACCTTGTTAACTCTATTCTGCATATTTAGTGCCACATTTTTTATTTTTAGTTGCATTAATAAATGTACTTTTTCATTTTCCCTGATACTGTTTGCTCCTTGTCTTTTGAACTGGAGATATTATTGAATGGTTAAGATATTATAACTTGACATTTGGAAAATTTTTCAAAATTATAGGCAGCAGATAATGTTGAAAGTGAATATAGGCATCTGTTTCTAAATTTTTTAGAATTTTTACAAAATATGTAGAATATTGGTCTGTAGTTTTCTTGTAATATTTTTGTCTGTTTTTTTTAATCAGGGTAATAATGGCCTCATAGGATGAATTGCGAAGTATTCTTTTTCTCTTTTTCTCAATTTTCTGTAGGAGTTTATATAGAATTGGTATCATTTCTTCCTTAAATGTTTAAAGAATTCAACAGTGAAACCATCTGGCTCTAGAGTTTTCTTTGTTGAGAGGTTTTTTTAACCACAAATTCAATTTTCTAGTAGACATAGGACTATTCAAGTTACCTGTTTCTGTTTGAGTAAGCTTTGATAATGTGAGGCTTTCAGGGAATTTATTTATTTCATGTATATTGTTGATTTTATGGGCATAAAGCTGTTTATAATATCCCATGTGATCCTTTTAAAGTGTCTGTAGAGTCTGTAGTAATGTCAGCTCTTTCATTCCTGACATTGGTCATTTGCGTCTTTCTTTATTTTTCTGAGCAAGCTGGCTAGAGGTTTATCAATTTTATTGATCTTCTCAAAGAACCAGCTATCCTGGTCCATAACCAGTATCATATCCTCTGCTTTTTTTTTTATTTTTAAGATTTTTAAATTGATTTCTGCTCTGACCTTTATCTCCTTTCTTCTCTTTCTCTTGAGTTTAATTTGCTCTTGTTCAATTTCTTAATGTGGAAGCTGAGATCATTGATTTTAAACATTCTTGACATTTACTTTGGATGTGTGGTAAACAGGAAAAAATACAGTTATAAAATAGCAGAAAAGTCTCTACTAACTTCTGATCATCTGTAGGATAAAATCCAGATGCTTAACTTGTTATTCATAAAGCCCTCGGAACTGAATTTAAATTTAAGATGATAAACTGGGCATACCCAGTTATCTCTCCTTCTGTTTAAAAACCCATTAAAATGGTAGTAAAGGCATTAAAAAAGAGACAAGTCCACACAAATGAAAAGCTGAGTGGGGGAAAGGCATTAGTGGACAACAAATACCAAAATTATGGAAATTTATGGAAGAACATTCTTAGAGCAGGAAAAGCATGCATAAAGGGGGCTGTAGAGAACAAGTAGCAGGTCTGCTTGGCGAAATCCTGGAAATCACCTGACTTAGGATTGGGAAATGAAACTGAAAACAGGCAGAAAAATTAGAGGCATTCTTAGACGTCCCTGACTTTCTATTCTGAACTGCACCAATTGCTTTCTCACATGTTGTACTGCTTCTTTTTAGATTTCATCTTACTGGGCTCCAGGGCTATTTTCAACATTTCTTACACACTGATATTTCACTTCCTAGGATTTCATCCTAATTTTGTTAGAGTACATTCTCAAATAGCTTCCCTGAAAGGTACTGCTCTCTTAGATGTATTTGGAAATGTTTGTGGGGGACATTTTTGATGACCACATTGTTTGGGGATAGTGGCACTACTAAGCCCTGAAAAACTTGAGTCCTTGGAAAACAATGTGGAAGTTCCTCAAAAAATTAAAAATAGAATTACCATTTGATCCAGTAATTCCACTAATAGGTACTTAACCTAAAGAAAACAAAACAATAATTTGAAAATACATATGCACACCCCTATGTTTATTGCAGCATTATTTATAATAACTAGGCTATGAGAGCAACCCAAGTGTTCACTGATAGAGGAATGGGTAAGGAAGAGGTGGTATATATACACAATGGAATGTTACTCAGCCATAAAAAAGAATAAACCGTTGCCATTTGTGACGACATGGATGGAGCTAGAGAGCATAATACTAAATGAAATACAGTCATAGAAAGAGAAATACCGTATGATTTCACTCATATGTGGAATTTAAGAAACAGAACAAATGAACAAAGAAAAAAGGAGACCAAAGAAACCAGACTCTTAAATACAGAGAACGAATTGGTGGTTGCCAGAGAGAAGGCAGGTGGGATGGATGGGTGAAATAGATAAAGGTGATTAAGAGTACGCTTATCTTGATGAGCACTGAGAAATGTATGGAACTGTTGAATCATTCTGTACACCTGAAACTAATATAACATTGTTAACTGTACTTCAGTAAAACAAACAAAAAACCAAAAAAAACCTGAGTCCTTGAAAGGTGAATGAAAATGATTGTTTTCCTTGTGCCCCTACACTTGACTGATAGTTTGACTAATAGAGGAATTTGAGGTTCAGAGTTATTGTCTCCAGTATCTGAGAATTGCTTAAATTATTTCTCGTATCCATGATTGCGAGAGAGGCAGCCATTGCCAGTCTGATTCTTAGTCATTTAAGTGTGCTTAGAAATTGGTAAAATTTGCTTTTGAGTAGATACTGCAAACATATACCTATATCTTTTATAAATAAATTGCATCAAATACTTCATACTCTATTTTTTAAATTTGTATTTTTCAGACAATGAATGATTTTGACTATTTGAAACTACTAGGTAAAGGCACTTTTGGGAAAGTTATTTTGGTTCGAGAGAAGGCAAGTGGGAAATACTATGCTATGAAGATTCTGAAGAAAGAAGTTATTATTGCAAAGGTAATTGATTACTAGAGTTGATTACTAAATTTTTGCTTATGGTATGCACTCATGTGTGTTCATGCATACATATGGCTGAAGGGTAGAAATTCCATTAAATAACCAAAATGTTGATTGTAGGCTACTGTTGCAGCAGGATCTGCATATCAATATTTATAATGCTAAAAATTTCAAAAGTTTATAGTATTATCTGAACGTTGTATACCGAAGCTATTTTGTTCCCTTGAGGAGATAAAAATATTTATTCTGTGTTTATGTATTTGGAGGAATGTTTTGACTGTTTTTGTGACCTGTAGCACTAATTATACTAGTATTGCCTTTTGATATTTCCCCCCAACATTCTGAATTTTTTATTATTAAATAAAAAAGTAATTCAAATAACATAGATGATTTGCACCCATAAATTATATAGCTTATATAACGATGAATGGGAAAACATCCTTAATAGATTTGAAAATACAAGAATGATGAAACTAAAAGAAATAGTAGTCTTTGAAATTCTTTCAGGAACTCTTAACCCCCACCTCCATAACTTTGTTCAGCTTAGACATACACAGATAACATGTTAATGATGCCAGTTCTCACTCAGAGTTCTGAACAGAATCCTAATTCCCTCAATAGACAGATTCGATAACTTTACAAATTGGTCCACGCTTTATGTTTCGTTTATTTCAACAAATGATACATGATATTATTGGTATACTTTATGGACTACTTTAACTTTCAAACCACATTGACCCTTGAACAACATGGGGGTTAAGGGTAACTCCCTGCTCAATCGAAAGTCCACATGTAACTTTTGACTCCCCCCGAATTTAACTAACAGTCTACTATTGACTGGAAGCCTTCGCGATATCATGAACAGTCAATTAACACATATTTTGTATGTCATATGTCTTATTATATACTGTATTTTTACAATGAAGTAAGTTAGAGAAAAGAAAATATAATTAAGAAAATCATAAGGAACAGAAAATACATTTATAGGCCTGTACTGAATTTATTGAAAAAAAATCCATGTGTAAGTGGACCCGTACCGTTCAAACACATGTTCAGGGGTCAACTGTATAGTTTCCTCATCTGGAGTGTATTGCTCCACACACTTTGTGAAGCTGTCCTCCCCCTGTCTTTGTGCATTTGCTTTTATTTCAATTCTTACACAAGTCTGTGTCTGGTATTGGAAATAACACTGACCTTGGAGTCACACAGGTCTGGATTCACATCCCAGCTTTGCATCTTATCATCTAATGACCTTTAACAACCAGTTTTGGGGGGAGTACTGCTCCCTTAGAGATATTCGCAATGTTTTGGGGGAGCATATTTGCTTATTCACAGTGAAGAGAAACTGCTGACTGTCACCAGGTGGAGGCCACGCATGCTCAATGTCCTGCAACATGTCGAGCAGCCCAACAGAGCCTTGCATTTTTCATCTGCAAAATTTCACTTGTTAAAATGAAAAACAATCACTTGAAATAATGAGCCCTGGATGTTGTATGCAACTGATGAATCACTGAATTGTACCTCTGAGACTGTTTAGTGTATTTTAACTAAATCAAATTTAAATTAAAATTTTTTTAAGAAAAGGTATTTCTGGACAGAAATATTGAGGATTAGGATATGTAAAGTATTTAGCATAGTACCTGACACTACTAATTAAACTGATATTTTCTGGGAGGTAGTTTAGTGCCACTTACTAAATGATCCCAAACAAATCACTCAACCTTTTACGCCTTTATTTCCTCATTTGCAAAATGGGAAATAATACAGTGCCTATCTCATAGAATTGTCAGGATTAAATGAATGAATAAGTGTAATAGCATTTGCCATAAATAAAATTGAATTAAAATAGTATTAAATGAAAAATATATTATCACTGTAAGTATTTGCTATTATTATTATTACTTTTGCCATCTACCATGTGTCAAGCATCAGTAAATACCATTTCTATTCTGTTTTTTCTGTTATACATTAGCTCACTTGGAGCCTGTCTTCCCTTACTAATTAATTATACTTTAATGAGTAACTCTACAGAACTGGGTATATTTTACAAGTGATAGCATATCCAGCTTGGTTTACTACCCTTGATTTTCACCAACAAGTCTATTTATCTGTTTCTTGAAAGAAAATATGTCTGCTCATATTAAAATGATGAACAGTATAATGTTTAAGAGTCTAACAAGACCTGGGGTTTGAATCCTGATGTGCCCATCACAGAGCCTCATATCGGGGACTAAATGGTGTCCACGTGCCTTAATACTGTTGACGTTAACACTGATCGGTTGCTTAAAGCATTGTCCACCAGGTTTTTCCACTGTAGAGTTACCATTTTTCCCATTGTAATTACTGACTATTTTAGGGGCAATACTCTGACACTTGCAGGTATTTTTTTTTTTTCTTCTTAAACTTTTGCCCACTCATTTTCATTTCCATCAGTGGATCTTGTCTACAACAGTTATCCCATGGTGTACTAATGGTATTTTCTATTTCCCTCATTCTTTATGCATTTATTCTATTCGGTCTAACTAAAGGTTCGATAATTTTATCTTTTCAAAGAACCAAATTTTACTTTCATTGATTTTTCTCTGTTTTTCTATTTTCTATTTTATCTCTGCTCTAATCATTATTATTTCCTTCCTTCCAGCTTTAGCTTTAGCTTATTCTTTTCTTACTTCCTGAAGTTGTAAAGTTAGGTTGTGGATTTGAGATCTGTCGTCTTCTTATTCTCCTCCTCCTCCTCCCCCTCCCCCCCTCCTCCTCTCCTTCTCCTCCTCCTCCCCCTCTCCCCCTCCCCCTCTCCCCCTCCTCCTCCTCCTCCTTTCTTTTTTTTGTGAGAGAGAGAGCATTGTGAGTTGGGGTGGAGGGGCAGAGGGAGAGGGAGAGAATCTTTCTTAAGCAGGCTCCATGCTCAGTGTGAGCCCAACAGGGAGCTTGATCCCAGGACCCTGAGATCATGACCTGAGATGAAATCAAGAGTCAGTTGCTTAACCAACTGAGCCACCTAGGTGCCCCAAGATCTTTCTTTTTAAATGTAAGCATCTAAGGCTATAATTTCCCACTTAGCACTGCTTTTGATGTATCCCATAAATTTTGGCATATTAGATTTTTCTTTTCATTCTTCTCTCAGTATTTTCTAATTTAATTTCCCTTGTGATTTTGCCTTTGATCCATTGATTAAGACTATTTTAATTACTATAAATTTGTAAATTTTCCAGTTTTCTTTTTTTTTAAAGATTTTATTTATTTATTTGACAGAGAGTGAGAGGGAGCACAAGCAAGGGAAGCAGCAGGCAGAGGGAGAGGGAGAAGCAGGCTCCCCGCTGAACAGAGAGCTTGATGCGGGGCTCGATCCCAGGACCCTGGGATCATGACCTGAGCTGAAGGCAGCCGCTTAACTGACTGGGCCACCCAGGTGCCCCAATTTTCCAGTTTTCTTTCTGTTTCTGATTTCAAACTTCATCCCATTGCTGGTAGAGAAGATACTTGATATAATATCTATCTTTTTAAATCTATTGAGACTTAATTTGTAGCCTAACATATGGTGTATCCTGGAGAATTTTCCACGTGCACTTGAAAAGAATGTGTAATCTGTTGTTGGGTAAAGTGTTGTGTGTGTGTCTGTTAGATCTAGTTGGTTTATTGTGTTAAGTCCTCTGTTTCCTTACTTCTGTCTGGCTGTTCTGTCTTATTATTGTGAGTAGAGTATTGAAGTCTCCAACTGTTAGTGTAGAACTATCTATTTCTCATTTTAATTCTGTCTTATTTTTGCTTCATACATTTTGATGGTTTGTTATTAGGTACATAAATGTTTATAATTGTTATTTGTTGCTGGATTGAGCCTTTTATTAAATACATAATGTCATATTTTTGTCTTTCATAACTTAAAAAATACATTTTTTTGTCTGATAATGAAATAGCCACCCCTGCTGTCTTTTGGTTCTGTTTGTATGATTATTCCATCCTTTCAGTTTCAACATATTTGTGTCTTTGGCTCTAAAGTAAGTCTTTTGAAGACAGTGCATATTTTGATCATTTTGTTGTTGTTAAATCCATTCTGCCATCTCTTATCTTCTGATTGGAGGGATTAATCCATTTACATTAAAATAAATACTTATAAAGAGAGAGTTCTGTCCCTTTGCTCTTTTTTTCAATATGCTTTATACTTTCTTTGTCCCTCATTGTCTGCATTACTGTCTTATGTTTAGTTGTTTTTTTTTTTTTTAGTGAAACATTTTAATTCCCTTCTCATTTCCTTCTCTATATATTCTATAGCTATTTTCTGTGTGGTTACCATGGGGATTACATTTAACATCCTAAAATTATAACACTCTAATTTGAATTTAAACCACCTTAACTTCAGTAAGATACAAAAACTGCTCTCTGCCGCTATGCTACTCTACTCAACCCTTTTAAGTTATTGATGTTATAAATTACATCTTTATTCTTTTTGGTGCAAATGTAAATGGGATTGTTTTCTTAATTTCTTTTTCTTCTTTTTTATTGGTGTGTAGAAATCCAAGAGATTTCTGTATGTTAATTTTGTATCTTGCAACTTCACTGAATTAATTTATCTGTTCTGGTGTTTTTTTGGGTGGAGTGTTTAGGGTTTTCTATATATAGTACCATGTCACTGCAAATAGTGACAGTTTTACTTCTTTCTTACCAATTTGGATGCCTTTTATTTCTTTTTCTTGTTTTATTACTATGGCCCGGACTTCCAGTACTATGTTGATTAAAAGTGGTGAGGGTAAGACACCCTCGTCTTGTTTCTGATCTTAGGAGAAAGGCTGTCAGTTTTTTACCATTATGATATTAGCTGTGGGTTTTTCATATATAGCCTTTATTATGTTGAGGTATGTTCCCTCTAAACCTACTTTGTTGAGAGTTTCTATCATGAATGGATGTTGTATTTTGTGGAATGCTTTTTCTGCATCTATTGATATGATCATATAGTTTTTATCCTATTTCTTGTAAATGTGATGTATCATATTGATTGATTTGTG